GTCAGCCACAGTCGGAAATATCATTGTATTCTTATAGTACTGTTTACTACTTTTGAGTAACACTTATAAATGGCATTATTTTCTGCGCCAAAGTAATCTTCTACGCTTGCACCTCCCTAAGTCGACCACAAACGGATTGCTGACGATCGTGGCAGGTTCTCTTGGTTTCGTCACCCTCTCGGTAGATTCGGCAATCAGCAAAGGCCTATCATGGTCGCATTTCCGACACCTCAGAAATGATCCGGTGACCTCTACGACACCCTCTTCGATATTACCATTGGTATAGTGACGATGTCCTTAATAGGTTCAGCAATCCTGCCTCATACACACTCACCAGCATGCCGCTCCTATCTCGTGTACATTTTCCTACCATGAGCGACAGTTTTTTCTTCTTAAAATCATAAATTCGCATTCAACCCTCTATAGATTACGAAAAATGCGCAAGGGTTTTTTCCATGTCTGTTATTTTGAGTTTGTCCCACATAATGGCTCGTGTCATTTGGCATCGCCAATGAGCTGAGGTACTATAAATATGTAGCTACACTACCCGCGACGAATGAGTAGTCGTGTAGGTTTACCATTTCTATTAACTGACGGCTGCTCATTTTTCGATTGCACTCATGTAAGCGACCAGTCACTGAACCTTTCCATTGTTTCTATGTATTTTATAGTCATTGAGTCATCAATAGGCAGCGGAAAGACGTTTTCCTATCTTTGCCTTAATAAAAATGAACTGGATTCGACGGTGCAGCCTTTTCGAAGGTCCAAAATTTGGATGCCACGTAAGGAGACGATAAGGCTTAGGGGGAATTCAAGGCTTACGCACATTTGGCAAAGCACAGGAACCCGTCATGGTGGCACCTGTGGCTTTTGCAGTCAGCGCTTAATTTCGTTTGAGGCTCCAGTTCATGCAGACAAGGCCTTCAGCGCGAACGTGTGAATAGCAGCTTCGCCAACAGTTTAGAATTTAGATCTGTTGGCGACGTTGAAGTAGGAGAAATAGCCGTTAGAAGGTCATCCAACCAACGTCACGCCCAAAGAGCCGGTGGTGATCCGCACACCTAGTTATGAGAGAAGGTTCTGAAACAACAGTTCCATTACAAACAATGGGCACGTATACCTCACAGTGACTACGAAAGCCATACAGGCTACAAAGGTCACAGAGGGGCGAAAACCAACACATAGACAGCCAGACAGCTAATGCGATAGGTATGCCAGTGAAACGAGGCAAGCGGCGAGCTAAAGAGGAATAAAGGCAAACAAAACAATAGCATAACAATAATGGAAACGAGTGAGTTTCCGAAACGTCAGCGCCAATGCAGTGTAGTCCATACCAGCGTCTGGTTTTGCTTCTTCGTTTTTTCTGGGGTTCGAGGAACGGAAGACATGCATATGTTTTTGTGCCGATACCCTCGCCTACTCATAATTATTACAAATACTGTTATGTTCAGTGTATTTGGCGGACAAAAGGCAGGAGACTTTGAAAACTCTCTTAGGGTTGTAAAGTAGGAGACAGCGATCAGCCTACTTTACTTAGAAACATAAGTCTCTAGCCTTCAAGAAGGTGTACAAAAAACAGGGCGAAACTCAAGTGATTATTTGCTTAAGCAAATAATTATTCCCGACAAATCATTCACGGCCACCTCCGAGTGACAGAAGGAGTGGCTAATGTACACTTATACGTATGGTGACTTTCGCCCTTAGAGGACCTTAAGAACAAACTCTGTGATTAAAATTTCGATCTGAAAGAGGGCTGTTGCCTGTGGAAAGGGCACTGAATTATTCAGGGACCCGAATCACACATAAGACTTTTCGAAGTCCAGCAACTTGTCGTTTGGATGAAGGCGTTCTCCCGCGCAGAAATAAAATTTCTACTGTACGTGTTTTTGATAGTGGTTATTTCTGCCGGAAATCCGCGGTTACAAACGACAAAAATTTAATAATTCTCGTCTCCGGAAATCTGAAACTAAAAAAAATGTCGACATGTATAATTGTAAGGTCCCAGAAAGTGTTACTTACTATACGGCTACAGTTTGCATTTATCTAAAACCTACCTCTCAACTGCTTATCGCGCTGCCCGTTCGTTGAAATTTCCAATCGGAGGTGGTATGGCGAATCCATGGGAAGCGATTTGCAAGGAATTATCGCTCGGGACAACCTGTTCCAGTATCCTCATTTTTTAAAATAATAATGTTCGTTTGCAGTTCAGCCACTCTCTTGCTTCAACTCAGTGAAGGTGGATGGTTGGTTTATAGGCGCTGTAGATTATTACTTG